TGTAACAAAAATAAATAAATTAACTTAAATAAATAAATAAAGAATAATAAGGAGACTTGCCCTACTCTATAATAATTGAAATAGTGCTACATTGGTGTGGTAGAGTTTACAGAAAATGTAGGAATTTAGGTTATAAAATATGCAGCATTTCAAGACAGGGAGATTTTATCTGAGCAACAGATAATGTGCGCACAACAGACCACCATCTGGAAACTAAGTCAGCCACTCCACGCCTTATAAAAAAATGGACTCCAAACAGATAAAGCAGCAAGACTTCCTTTTAATCCTTTAAAAACATTAAAGAAAAATATGGAAAGCACTTTTATAAGCTTGAAGTGGGAAATACCTTCCTAGATAAGCTATAAAACCAAGGTACCATGTGCAATTTGTTGAAAATAAAGTATATCACAATAAAAAATAAATAAATAAAAAAACTGGAAAAAAGGAATACCATAAAGGAAAAAGTGGTAAATTTGACCGTGTAAATATCCTGAAAATGTAAATTGTCTATATGGCAGAAAATAAATAAAGTGTAAAGACAAGGAACACATAGGAGGAAAATTCTCAACTGTGTGTAACAGCTAACAAGCTAATGATCAGAAAAAGGTACACGTCTAAAGACTACAACCAATTGAAAAATGAGCAAAGGTTATAGACAGGCAACTGACAAGAAAATTTTAAGCAGTCAACAAACATATGAAGAGATGTACAACTTCACTACTAATTCAATACAACAATTTAAATTAAATTGTTTTTGTATTGAATATAATTGAAATTAAAACAACAATAAAATAGTATTTTCCCATCACTGAGATAAATAATGAAAAAGATTAATAATATCCATTGTTAATGAAGCTTCAGGGAAACAGATACTACATGCAATGATGGTCAGAGTATAAATCTGTGAAGTCTTTTAGGAGAACATCTTGCATTGTTTATTAAAAATTTAAATATGCATAGCCTTAGGCCAAGCAATTCTCTTTCCAGAAATCTAAGCAATAGAAATGCTTGGAAATGTGTACACGGATATTCACTGAAGCACTGCTTGTGTTAATGAAATATTGGAAGTTTCCTAAGTTTTGATCCCTGAGGAATGAGGGACGCGGTTTGGTATTGTCTCGCTATGTAATATCAATTACAAAAAGTACATATAATATCATCAACAGTACTTATAAAGCATACAGTGTAGTGTTGTTAAAATGTATGTGTGTGGGTGTGCATGCATGCCAACCGGAGAGGGTCTTGACGGATCTAAACCACACCACCCACAATGTCGACCTCCGGGGGTGGCAGGGGAGCAGGCTGCGCCGGGGGAGACTGACTCTAACACTTCGGTCCTGACACTGTTTGACTCCTTCACATACAACACTTTTCACACCATCCCTCTGCCACAGCAGCTAACGAAACCACTGGTGTGACTGCACCATGTTGCGTGAACAGCACTGAAAACAGAAGCCACACGATCCCGTCGGTGGAGAGGTCTCCGTGGGCTGGCTCACATGAAGATAGCCTCCCGGAGGAGGAAGGAGGGACGGAGAACCTTGACTAAGATGGACAACTGGAACAGGCCAAGGGAAAGAGGGGTGCGGTTTCCCAGAGAGGGTGACATTATTCACCAAGTCAAGAGCATTTCATTCATTCAAGTCCTTATTGAGTCAGCTGTGTCCCAGACCTTGTTCCCGGCATTCATAGTCATCATCATCATCATCACCCCAAAAAGTATGTATTATGCAAACCAATCCATAGGAAAAGCATTTTCAACACCAGCGGGAATACACAAGCATTAACTACTCTATAGGCCAATTCAACACTTTAAATTGTTTCAGTCTTTACATTGAGCTCACCGTTGGCCCCGGGAGTCTCACTCCCAGGGCTGATTCTAAGGACGGGGACATTCGTGAAGATTTACTGACAAGGAATTAGAACCACTTCAGTAACAGTAACGAGGCAGCTAAGTGGTGGTACATCCACGTCACGGAATATTATTCCACCACTAGAACTGTGCTGTGGAAGCATATGGAGCAACGTCGGAAAATGTGCACACTATTTAGCAATGTGAGACACGCCAGTCCCCAACCAGTATTTACAGTGTGGGTGGAATTAGGTTTTTAATTTTTATTTGCGTAAAAATGTCTGGCAGGGTTCACAGTGCAACGCTGGGCTGGGCCTGGTGGAGGCGCTGCACGCCGTTCCCGCTTTCCCATGCTTCCCCTTGGTGAGCCATGTTGCTCCTGCATCAGCACACAAGCGGTGTGTGGACACCGGGGTCGGTGACCAGAGCCAGCACTCCCGGACAGCGCTCTGTGCCGGGAACCATCCCTGAACCGCATGGGCAGTGAGTCAACCTCCGTGTCGAGAGTGGGAGGGACCTTGCGTCAGCCTTGCTGGAAGTGCACAGGGAAAGGGCAGCGATCCAGCTCAGGCGAGGGCAGAGGGCGAACAGGAGGGCAGAGGCGGTGGCCAGGGGCAGGGGGGGCTGGGCTGGAAAGCCTCCCGAGCACAGTGCCCACCGGCAATGGCTGGAGAAGCCTGTGGGAAGCGGGAGAGGAGAGGGAGCCTTCAGGAAACACAGGCCACGGCGCTCCGGGCCCAAAGGCACTCGATCCAGAAGGACCTCTGAGCGCTTCTATTTCATATTCCAACCCAGAGGTATCTGCCCACAGAACTTCCCATTGTGTTATTGTTTCGATCTTGTTTCCCACGTAACAACTACTGAGGTGCAGATTTAGGAAAACAAGGCCCCTGGAGAGGGGCCAGGCAAAGGGCCTGGGGAAGGGCACCCTAGGAGCTGGGGCCACCGGCCTGTCCCCACCTTGCCCAGGAAGGACAGGAGCCACGCCCCACACACCCCTGCAGCCTGGGCAGACCACTCCTAAACATGCCTGTCTGCTCTCAGGCCACTGACCTGGGGTTCCCTCTCCTTAATCCCTCCAAGAAGACCTCCGGAAGCCTAAGTGGACCATTCTAGAAGTATGGTCACTGCTTCCTAAGGTTTGTAACCTTCTCACCAGAAACCCAGGGCCAGCCCAGAGGCTGAGAAGGCGTGAGGACAGGCGCCTGGGGCGGACCAGACACCCGGGGAGGCCCAGCTGCTCGGGGGCGGACCAGACACCCCGGGAGGCCCAGCTGCCTGGGGAGCTTAGGGCCACAGCCAGGGACCAGCGGAAAGCGCGGGACAGTCCCAGGCAGGTGCCGAGGGAAGAGGAAGAGACCAGAGTGAGGGAAGGCGAGAGGAGGAGGGGCAGAGAAAGGGGAGGCACAGGGGATGGGAAGGGAAGCGTGAGAAGAGAAAGCCTTTTGAGAAGGGGAGGAAGACCAGGAAAGTGGGGGAGGGGTGGAGAGGGAGAAGGGAATGAAGGGGAGAGGAGGAGGAGGAGGGACGGCGGATTTCCAATTCCAGCGAAGGTTAGGAACTGCCTCAGGGGTTTGCTACAAGTACATACATCTGTTCAGGGAGAGCCCTCTCCCCTGAAGGTAGAGCCACGTGAATGACCAGACCCTGCTCTCCCTGGACGTCGGGAACCTGTGCGTCTGTCCCACCTGGCAGCGACCTTACTGCAAGAGACGGAGTGCCCAGCCACAGGACACGTGGCAGCAAAACAGAAAGGACACACACAGTCTGTTTCAGAGCCAAGGGACGGCCAGACCAGACCCCCCAGCCTCACTCATCCGAGGCGCTGCTCTGCTTTCTGTGCCAAAAGACACATTGATACTAACAGCTGACTATCCTCTTGAATTAATTTGCTTAAAAGGGAAAAGTGGACGACGTTTAGATAGTGTATCCTTCTGTGCCTCGGGTCACCGCAGTAAGCAGAATCCAAGGGCAGCGCTGGAGTGTTTGAAACTACCCTCGTCAATTATCGACATTAACATAGCCCTACTCACATAGGATAAAAATACCTTTCACAACTTTTAGTCCTTGAAAAAGGCTTATCAAAAAATCACTAATGCCTTTGCTATTATGGTGCATGTACACAATCGAATGAGGTTCTTTTTCGTGTTGAGGACTGTCCGCTCTACCCAATGACCCTCGCTCCTGTGCCAGACCGGACTCAAAGCCATGCAGAGTAATTTCAGCACCTAATAGCAACTCTTATTAAACCTGTGGGAGGTGTCTTTTTTTTTTTTTTATCCTCACCCGAGGACATTTTTCGATATTTTGTTCAGATAGAGTAGGAGGGAGAGAGAGAGAGAGAAACATCGATGTGAAAGGGACACATCGAGTGGTCGCCACCCACACGACCCAACCAGGGCCGGGGACAAACTGCAACCGAGGTACGTGCCCTTAGCGGGAACTGAACCCGGGTCTCTCCAGACCGCAGGCCAACGCTCTAACCACTCAGCCAAACCGGCCCGGGCGGAGGTGTCTTCTTGAACAGAACATCTGAGATAAAAAATGATAATCCTCAAACACGGTACTTGGTAGCTGAGATGTCCCAGGAGGTGGCCCACACCTCCTGTCCATCTGCAGGCGGGGAGCGCTACCTCTGGCCTCTGTCCATTTTTGGGTGGACTTCTTGGTGAGCTGTTACAGCCCGAGTCTTGGGTCAGTTCCTCTGGGCAACTGGTCAGAGCGACCAGCCTCCCTGCTCTGAGGCCTGGGACTGGATCAGGGCCTCCCAGCGGGGCCTCCTCCTGCTGGTGCCTGGCACCCACGGCCAAGCAGTCGAGCTGCCAGACCTGAGCCCCAGGCGAAGCGTCCGATCATCCCATCTTTCAAACCTGAAGGTTCTCCTGAGCGGGCCGGCCGGGCAGCATGGGGCCAGGCTCTCGCTCCCTGCTGTCCTTGCTTCCACATCTACAGCACATGACAGCCCAGCGTCCACAGAACGATCTACCCTCCCCCCATCGCCTGGCTCCCGTGGCCGTGGCCGTGGCCCTGAGAGGCTGAGATGATGTGTTCTAGCCCAGCAGACCCCCTGGAGGCCCTGCCTGGCCCACTGTCCGGAGGACCACTGACCTGCTCCCCAAGCCTCCCCCAAAAGAACGGACATGCTCACCTCTCATTTCTGTCTCCGAGGAGCCATTGGACCAGGCCGTCCACTTATTCTTGTGCTTGCTGATCTCCTGGACTTTGCAGACATAATGCCCTTGATCCGCCGGCCGGAGGGTGGAAATAGAGAGAGCGTAGAGCACCCCGCGCCTCTCCTCCAGGAGGCGCAGCCTGTGCCGGTAGGCGCTGCGGCTGAAGTTCCCGTAGTACTGCACCGCCCTGAGCTTGGTCATCTTCACCATCAGGGCCTCCGGGGCGCCGGGGCGCGCCAGGAACCAGCGCACGGCCAGCAAGCTGTCCTTCCGCCTCTTCTGGGAGACGTGGCAGAGCAGGGTGGCATTTTCCCCCTCCAGGTAGTCAACCACGGGCCCCGGGGACACGGTGACATTGAGAGCCCCACAGACCTCTGCAGAGACAAAAGGCAGACCGTGAGGAAGGCCACCGCACCTGACAGGTGCCCACAGGAGCCACGTGGACAGAGTGCCGGCTGCCCCACACCCTCCATGACCACTCTTTGCCCTCAGGATGGCCAATGAAGGCTCCCTTTTGGGGGGGCCTCCGTGGGAACCCACGTTCTCCTCTGTGAGACGACCCTGTCCACGTAGAAGGCCACTGACCCCCTGGTATTTTTAAACATTTTTTAAAATGAGTTGTTGATGTTTAAAATTTAGACTATTTCACATAAAATTTTGGATTGTTGGAATCTCCTAGAAATGTCCGGCCCTCCTCCCCAAGGCCTGCTGGGACCCGTCCCGCCACCTGCCTGAGCGGGCACAGCGTGGGCACCTGCCTGAGCGGGCACTGCGCGGGCACCTGCCTGAGCGGGCACTGCGCGGGCACCTGCCTGAGCGGGCACTGCGCGGGCACCTGCCTGAGCGGGCACTGCGCGGGCACCTGCCTGAGCGGACACTGCGCGGGCCAGGGGCTGCCTTCACGCACCTGCCCGTTTCAGCTGTTTGCACCGTGGCCAGGGCAGGTTATCGGCACTGGTCAGGCACGTGTTAACCGGGACCGGGAGCCAGACCCACAGGGCTCCTCAGTTTCCGGCTGTAAGTCTCTGGACTGCGCGCTGACGGGCAGGAATAAAGACCGAGCGAGCCCAGGGACAGGGAGGGGTGAGAGAAGCCCCCAGCGCCCATGAGAGGCTCCGGAGCTCCAGGCCCCGGCCACCACTTCTCGTCTTGGCTTCCTTAGCTGGACTCGCCCGAGAGCTGCCCTTCCGAATGGTGCAGGGCAGCCGAGCCGCCCGGGGCTCATGGGTGGCACCTCCCTCTGGCAGGCAGAACCCGGGACAGACAGGAGGCCCAGACCTCTGTGCAAGCAGACATCTGTCCTCTCATCTTGATCCTGCGAGCCCAGCGCACAGCTCCGGTGGCGCTATTCCCAGCCCACCCCACACGCAAGCAGGTGTGCCCAGGTCATCCCAAACCACACGTCCCCCAAATGTCCTCTGGCCACCTGAAGGGGCTTGAGGCCTGAGGTCAGAGTTCCCAGGAGCTCTAAACTCTGGTTAGTGCTGTAGGTAGGCAAGGAGGAAGGAAGACGAAGATCTGACATCTGACTCTGGGGATGCAAAGAGGCTGAGTCAACAAGGTGTGGCCCCTGTGTCCGGTGGCCTGGGGGAGGTGCCACATGAAACCTTCTTTGTAAATTTCAGCCAAGAAGCTCATCCTCTTGCATGGTTCCCTCTACTGATTTCACAGACTGAACGCTGGGGAGACATGACTTGTGGGTCAAGGTTCCTTCCTTTTCTCTCTCGTCTCCCAGGCCGAGAGCCAGGCCCACCGGGACCCTCCAGGGCCCTGCACTTAATCAGATTGTGGAGCACCTGCTGCTCCACAGGGACCATTCACAGGCTCAGGGATTGGGACACGGACACCTTCAGGGGTCGTTATTCAGCTTACCACACTAGGGCAGTCTTTTGTCACCTTAAAAAAATAGGTGGAAGTACATTCAGAAGAAAAGGTGGATGCCCGGCTGGACTCTAAGCAGCTTGCGGACAAGAACGAGGTCCTCTGTCGGCAGTGACCAAGGGCAGAGCCGGCCGGGGAGCTTCTGGAGGAATGCAGGCCAACAGGCTTCTCCGGAACAATCTCTAACAATCACTGTCCATATCAGTCACTGGCACAGGACAGAGGGGAGGAACCGGCCCCGTCGCCCGGCATCTCACCACCTGGCCTGCACCTCGCCTGGGTGCCACAGTAAACCGGCCCGAGAGCGCGCCCCTGACCACCAGGACCCTGTGGAAGGCCCCATGGTGGGAGTTCCCAGTGAGAGCCACGCAGCCAGAACCCAGGCTGACCCACTGCGGCAGCGCCCCGGGGCCCGGCAGACAGCAGCTGGCTTCCAGAACCGAAGCCCAGCTCCACCGCCCCCGAGGGCGGGCTCCCCACTGGCGGAGGGAGAGCTGGGGAAGGCAGGAAATTGAAACAATATGGGTGGGATGAGAGCGAGGCTGGGCCCCACAGCCCGGTCTCCTTCTATTAACACTGCATGAGGGAGGGGTTATTTATAGCGACCGAAACCCAGAGACCCTGCCAAGTGCCCCGGCCCCCACGGGAGGCCAGATTCCATCCCGGAGGCAGACGAGTGACCCTTCCACTTCCGCAGCTCAGCCCGTCAGCCGTTCCCACGGCCGGGACAGATGGAAGCCCCTTCCCCGGGCGAGGCCTCCCCCCTCTGCCGCGTGCCTCTGCCGTCGCCGTCGCCTACGTGGCCCCAGCACGATTCGCCCGCTGAAGTGCAAAGACCCCGCTTACGTGCTGAATTGAGTCCCCTCCAAAGTCATATATTGAACCCCCAACTCCCAGGACCTCAGAATGTGACTGCATTTGGAGATAAGGCCTTCAAAGAGGTGATTAAGTTAAAACGAGGCCACTGGGGTGGCCCCTAATCCAGCACGACTGGTGTCCTTATAGGGAGAGGACATCAGCACCCAGACGCACGGAGGGCCTGGCCCAGGAAGGCCCCCCAGGCTGCGCCTGCCAGCAGCCCGGACAGTCACCACTTTCAGTGGGAGATGTGGCTGGTGTGACAAACGGTGATGCTCACGGGCCCGTGGAGCCTCAGAGCTTTGCTCTCAGATTGGGGGCCCCCCATGCCTGTGATGAGCTTTCCCAGAAAGCCAGGGGCCCCCGGGTCACACCCTCCTCTAGGCACTGAGCTGCCTAACTCAGAGCAGGAAACACAGCTCACGCTCAGGCAGCTGAGGAGGCGCCACGCGGGAGGGGAGCAGATGCAGGTGGGGGAGCCGCAGCCTGGCCAAGCGAGCTGAGCGGCATGTCTGGTTACGCACTAGGAGAGCGTTGCACACAGCCACCCCCTCCGACCCCCCAGCATCAGGCCTCCTGGGGCTCAGCAGAGAACACAGCCATGGGGCTCAGGACAGCAAAGGCAGCACCAAAGTGTGGAGTCAGACGGTGTCCATGGGGGTCTGGGCCTCTCCCTTCTGGGTCCCAGGCTGAAGAACAGAGCGTACGCACCCTGCAGGGCACAGGGCAAGCCACGCGAGCCTTGGCCAAGCCAGCTTCGGGCCAGCGGCGAAGGGACGGGAGCAGGGCAGAGTCCCCCACTCCTGGCCTAGGAAGAAGACTGTCCGAGTCCGGCCCAGAGAACTAAATTGCTCTGTGACCCTGCACTGCAGGAAACCGAGGGGCAGGAAGAGCTCCCACGCCCTCCCTCCCCCCTGGGGAACCTCCTCACTCATGGTTCCCACTTCTCCCCGCTGATTTTGTTCACTGAATCACTCAGCACACACTCGCTGAGCAGCGGCCACGTGCTGGGCACCGTGTAAAGAAGACAACATTCCGGACTCCATGGGGCCTTCCAGCCAGTGGGAAGGCAGCTGGTCATCCAGAAAAAGACACTGGAATATGGAACAACAGCAGTGTCACAGCTACAGAGAAAAGTTCACAGGATCACAAATCAGGACAAGATCCTGATCTAGTCTACGGGTCAGGGAAGAGACTGGGGAGGTGATCATGAGCCAAAGGATGAGTTGGACTTAATGACACAAAATATGAGTCAGTTGAAGGAATCATTCCTGGGAGGGGTTCCACCTGTGCAAGGCTCCGAGGCCGCAGGCACCTGGTGGAAGTAGAGAGATCGGCGTCATCTGGTGAAGTCCACGGCCCGTGGTCCATGCATGTGGTCCCTGTCTGTGGCTGGATTTCAGGAGGGGACTTCCCACCGCAGTCAGGGCCTCCAAGGCCAGTTTTTAAAGGAGGAATATGACAACGTGGGCAGGAAAGACATTGACCCAAACAGAGGACAGGGTACTGCTGCAGGGAACCTTATTCCTTCAATAAGCACAGACTCTACTACTTGGGAGCCCTGGGTGCCCCACACGGCTGGACCCTGGGCTGCTCGGGGCCCTGGGCCTTCCCAGTGGCTTGGTGGGTCTGGGCAGAGAGCCAGGGGCTGGCTTTCAAAAGGCCAAGTTGGAAACCTGATTCTATGAGGAGTAAAGCCCTCATGACCTCTGTTTCTTCACTTGCAGATGGGAAGATAATTCCAATGGTAAAATAACTTTCTCGATAATAGTTGGCGCCCTGAGAACTGAGTAGGTGGGGACAGTTAATGTGACATGCACACTGGCTTCCCGGTGTGAGACCTGCATCACACAGGGCCCTCTGCTTGGAGGGCCTCTCACTTGGTCCGATCACTTCTGTCATGCTCTGGAAGTTTTAATCATTTTCGATAAGGGGCCCCACATTTTCATTCTGCACTGGATCCCACAAATGCCATACCTGGTTCTGCTGCGAGCACACATTGAATTCCTGTGCATGAGATGGACAGAATGAACTCCTCCTGTTCCCATTTAGACAATGTTTTCTAACAGCTCAGGACGTCAGTGTAGTCGAACAGCATGGCCTAGTCACCGGGGGAGGACCGGGGGAGGGGGCAGCCTCCAGAGGCAGGGCGCCGGCCTGGACGGGAGGCAGAGGCTGCACAGCCCGAGTCCCTCTGCCCACCTGGCCAGGGCGTGCTGTGGTCCTGTGCCCCCCTCATTTCAGGGAGCCAGGAGGCACATCCGTAAGGAATGCACTCTGTACCACCCAGCAGTGAAACCGCATTCCTACTAGATGTTAGTCTGGATCAATGACAGATCTCTGGAAGCTCAACGGCCTCGCTGGAAAACCCGTGGCGCTGGAGCCAGGGGTGAAGCCTACCAGCGGACGCCAGCTCCGGGCAGGACAGGCACCGGCCCTGACCAGTGGCCAAGGCAACATTTGCTGGGTGTGAACTTCATGCCAAGTACCGTTCTAAGCACTTTAGATGTATTTTCCCAGTGTATCCTTATATGCGTTTATCCCCATTTCACAGACAAGAGGACTGAGGCCCAGAGAGGCCCAGCCACTGACCCAAACTCACACAGAACATGGGAGAGCTGGAATTCGAACCCCGGCCCTCTGGCTCCAGAGCCAACTCTCAACCCCCACTCTGCACGACCGCTGGGCATCTACTGTTTCGCCCTTTGGTTTGCTTTTCTGTAAAACGAGAGGTGGGACCAGGTGACTGCTAAGGTCCCGCTCTGTCCCAGAAGAGAGAAGTAGCAGAGTTCACAGTTCAGAGCCCAGACTCCTGTATAAAGTGGCTCTGCCACGCTCTCCCTTGGGGATGGTGACAAGGAGTCAGGGGAGAAGCACTCAGAAGAGTGGGCAGAACATGGTGGAGGCGGCACAGGCAGAGCCTGTCTCCATTATCTTTGGCATGGCCTTGGGCACAGCCAGAGGGGACTCTAAAGATTGAATTCCAGCTGAGGTCTCAAGAAATATGACTGTCCTTGACCTCCAAACGCCTTTCTCTGGGAGTGCCCTCTCTGATGGTACCTAAGATTAGGAAGGTGGTCATGGAACCTGGGGGACAAAGACCCCTGTGCCCTCTTGCATCCCATTGGCTACTGGCCACTCCACACAGGCCACCATCCCAGTCAAACCTGCAGCCTCTGGTAGCCAAGGCAGTGACAACCCTGAAAGGGACATTTCCCACAGTGCTGATTTCAGGGTCCCGGGAAACCCACTGCTCTGGGAGCCAGGGACAATGGGCGAATGTCTCCCCTCCACGACAATCCAAGCCACGCCTCGGGTTCTGATCTGGGCTAGCTCAAAGGCCAGCGCCACCGCTGGGCAGCCGGGTCACCCCTGGAAAGTCTTTGAGCATCAGCCTTCTTGTTTGTGAAACAGTGGCAGCACAGCTCAGCCAGTCTGAGCACAGAGCCAGGCTTCCCAGGTTCAAATCCCAGCCCCACCACTTACAAGCCTCCTGACTTTAAGCAAGGCAGTTCATGGGCCCGGGCCTCGGTTTCCTCATCCGCAAACTGGGAACACGGACAGCACCTCCTCCGAGGTTACTGGCAAGTTCAGCTGAGTTAATGTTTGCACCTGGATATAGAAATACTTGCTCTCTTATTCCGTTGAAGTGTTGCTGTGATAACTGGGGTAAGTGCATCGGACCCTGGGAACCCAGCAGGCCGCAGGAGAGGACAGCCACTGCCACACTGAATCAGCTGTTCCGGCCAGCGCGGCCCTTCCAGGCAGCGCCCTGAGGACTCCGGGGAGAAAATGCTTCAGCAACTTCGGCACAAACCCCGGGGCCCTGCAGCAGTGCGGCACAGGCCACCCCGAGGCGGGGTGCTCTGTGAGTGGCCCCACTTCTCCAGCCCGGATCCCCGCCTCACCAGGCCGGGTCCCCCCGGCGCCCGGGTGCGGGGCACGCGGGGCCAGCCCGCCGCCCGCCCGCCTGCCCGCCAGGGCGCTCCGCTCCGGGAGGCGGGAGGGAAGTCCTGCCGGGCTGACCTGCCAGCAGCCCTGGTCCTGACGGCGGCGGGGAAAAAGAAAGCAAACCGACACGGGCTGCGCCTTCCGGCTGAAGTCCTCCCCCGGGGACCCGGCCCTCGGAAGGGGCTGCTCGGGGCCCCGCGCGGAGCGGAGCGGAGCGGAGCGGAGCGCAGGGTCCCGGCCGAGGAAGGGGTGGGGGCGCCCGGCCGTCGCCAGGCATCGGCGCAGGGACAGCGCGGCCGGCCCGCGGCGCGCAGGGGAGGGAGGCCGGGCGGAGTGCCCCCGCCAGGCCGAGCCCGCAGCCCCGCCGCCCCGATCGCCGTCCCGGAGCCGCCGCCCGCCCGCCGCCCGCCGCGCTTACCCGGGGCCGGAGCCCGCGCCAGCAGCACGGCCGCCGCCAGCGCCAGCAGCCGCATCTCCCCGCCGCCGCCCGCGCTGTGACGCCAGCCGCCGCCCGCCGGCCGCCCGGCCCGCCCCGCGCCCGCCCCCAGCCCTGGTCCGCCCCGGCCCGGCCCGGCCCGCCCCTGGGCGGCCCGCCCGCTGGGCCCGCGTTCAGGGTGCCTGGGGCCGCCCTGGGCAAGGACGACCCCCGCCCCGCGTTCGCTGGCGACTGTGGGGGTCTCATTCTCACCACTCCATTTCACAGATGAGCAAACTGAGGTTCTGAGGACTGATGGCCCGACACAGGAATCCACAGCCGCGATGGGATCCAGGTCTCTCGGCATCACAGGCCCAGTCATTGCTGAGGGGATGGTGTCTTGGAACTTCTGCCCAGGTGGGGCGGCTGGGGTGGGGGAGTACCAAACGCAATGCTGCCCCTCTGTGAGGCCCACCTGCTGCCCGGCAGACCCCAGACATCTGTGAGCCAAGGAGCGGCGGAAGGACTCGTCCTCTGCCGATGCCCCGAACTGGCTGTGGGGGTGTCAGGGATGGGGACCCTTGCAAAATGAGAGTGTCCCCATGGACAAGTTCAGAATGTGGGATAATGACCACTTAGGGTGCCTTCAGCCACAGCCTGGGCCACCATGTCACTGAATCCTGGCACTGTGAGACCCTAGCTAGCTCCTTAATCTTCATGTGCCTCAGTTTCCTCCATCTGCACCACGAGGAAACAGGTCCCTCATGGAGTGTTTAAGAAGATCCAGTGAGACAGTTCCAGTTCAGGCCCATGTATGTCCGCTGTCCTTAGTATTATTACAGATAGAAAAGTGGAGGCAGAAAAATGAGGAGCTGACCCAAGTCACACAGTCAGGGAGTGGTGACATGGCCACTCAGCCCAGGTCACGGGTCCAACGCTTGGTCTCTACCATGGTTCTAAACTTGGGGTCTAAGCCCAACTGACGTGTAAGCCCGGCTCTCCAGAGCAAGCACAGCGTACACTAGGTATGCTTTGCGTGTCTGTACAGGAAGGTCTCTGAGGGGGTCCGGCATGGTGGCCTGTTTGGGACCGGGTCCATGATGGAGGAGGAAAACAGGGCCGTGAGCTGAGTGGGGAAGGCAGAGAGAGAGGCGGCACTGGCCACTGGTGCTGAGCCCCAAGGCCTCAGGCCAGTGATCGCAAGCCTCTGTGATCTCCCCAAATCTCAGGCACTTCCTGGGGTCCTGGGACTCATGGTCCTTATAAGGTTCTTCTAGCTGCGAGACCTTCACACAGAACAGGGCCCTGCAGGGACTGAGCTGGTCATCAAGGCAGCCACCCTAGTGGGAGTGGCCCCACTTCTCAGCCAGGCTGGGGAAGGGCCGGCGGAGTCCACCTGAGCTGGCTGCAAGGTCACTGGGTCTGATGCCAAGGACAAGAAGTGAAGACAAGGACCGGTGCTGAAGTGGATCCTACAGCCAAGGAATACAAATATTCCTGGGAGACTTCCAGACCAGAGCCTAATTCTGTAACGTCCCAGGCTCCATGTTACAGATTAGTAAATGCAGGCTCGAAGAGGACCAGCGACCTGCTCAGGGTTCTTTGGGCCACCGAGTGTCTGAACTGGGAACTCGGATTCATGCCAGGAGAGGAGCTCTGGTTCTGAAAGTCCACTGGTGGCCCACCCTGGGTAACAGCTGTGGGTCCTCCGAACCCCATTTTCCTGCTGAAGGTGACGTGTAAAACGGCATGTCAACATGACCACACCTGGGCAGGGAGCTAAGCCAGTGCAGGACTGACTGGTGTCCTTCATGACCTCCCACCTCACAGCTTACTCTCCCAGGGGGTGGGAAGCAGAAGGCCCCTGACACATGTTGGCCACGCTTGAAGGAGTCAATTCTTGCTTTGGTCATTGTATCACTTCTTTCTTTTTAAGTTTTTACTTACTGATTTTAGAGAGACGAAAGGTGAGAGAGAAAGAAGTTGTTCCACTTACTGATTCATTCATTGGTTGCTTCTTGTATGTGCCCTGACCCGAGATCGATCCTGCAACCTAGGCGTAGTGGGATGATGCTCAAACCAACTGAGCTACCCTGGCAGGGCTGTATCACTTCTTTAATTTTTTTTTTCCCTTTATTGATCTGAGAAAGACAAAGTGAGAGGGAGAGAGAGATAGAAACATTGATGAGAGAGAACATCAGTTGGCCGCCTCCTGCATGCCCTCCACTGGGGAACAGGCCCACAACCTGGGCATGTGTCCTGACCAGGAATTGAACCAGCGACCTCTTGGTGTATAAGTCGACGCTCAACCACTGAGCCACACCAGCTGGACTGTATCACTTCTTTTTTTGTTTGTTTTTGCATTCATCTTCAGATAGAGCAGGAGGGAGAGAGGGAGGAAGAGAGAGAGAGAAACATCGATGTGAGATGAGACAGACACATAGACTGGTTGCTACCCACGCGACCCCAACCGGGGCCTGGGACAAACTGCATCCGAGGTACGTACCCTTAGCGGGAACTGAACCCGGGTCTCTCTGGTCCGCGGGCCAATGCTCTAACCACTGAACAAAACCAGCCAGGGCAACTGTATCAGTTCTTAATGTCCATCTCTCCTTTCAGAAATGGGCAGACATTCAACCCAGGTTTAGACCTAAATGCCCAGCCTTTACCTTGCTTTTTTTTTTTTTTTTTGCCAAATTGGTGTTGTGCTAGAGATTTGGGGCTGGAAAGTGTTTTTCTTTCTGTGATACATAGCATTGTTCTGTCTGCAGCTGTGTTCTCTCTCAGTACTCTGGCTTCCCAGATAGTCTACCAAACCACTGGTAAAACCCTTGCTGAATAACCCAGGGACAGAGACATATACCCAGCCCCCAGGGCAGACACGGCCAGTGACCGATGAGACTCAGCACCTCAGCGGCTGGGGACCACAGCAGCAAAGGCGTCACCCTGTCCTCGCGCACACGCCTGGGGCAGCTTGAAACCCTCCACGGACTTCCTTGTCCATCCCCTGGCTCTGTCAGGTCTGACTCGTTCTGAATTAGAATAATACCATCTAATTATGTATGTATATATAATCACCTCTTCTAAAAATCCCCGTCTGGGGTTTCTGGGTGAGCAGTCAGGTCCCTCTGGACACTCAGCTGTGTGGCATTTCTACTCAGCTCATCTGGTCCCTACAGTGGACACGTCCATCCAAGCAGGACATTTCGTGAAAGAGGCAGCATCCTCCAGTGTGTGACTGGGGAAGGGACGCAGAGCGCACCAGCCTTCCCCTTAAAGGTAAGAAAGTGTGGACTATAGCCTGAACATATATTTACATCGAAATAGCTTCTCCAGACTGCCTCACCGGGACTCTGGTAAGGGGCATCCCACAAGCAGCAGTGTGTGAGCTGGGCGGCAGGGACTTTGCAGGCTGGCCGAACGCCACAGAAAGGCCCCGAGTCTGGAAGGCCCCAGATGGAGGGGTTGAACCAGGAGGTGATCGAGTCACGGGCCCGGTGGCGGCCACGCCCACTTCCTCTCCCGGTGCTGTAACAGCAGGTGAAGGTGGCCCTTGACCTGAACCTTGGAGGATTCTGGAGCGTCCTGAAGGCAGCCCCAGGTGCTGGTTCCCGGGGAAACCCGTGCACCGAAGCACAGAGGCTGAAGGACTCAGGACTTTCAAGTCCCAGAGGTGGCTTCTCAGGACTAGAAGACTACTCGTGCTCAGTGGGTAAGAAGTTGAGGCAGCATAGTATGAACTATGAACATTCCTGGGCAAGTGGAATGGGGACACTGAGGCAGATAGCTGAACAAAGTGACCGAGCAATTTACAGCCAGATACAAGTCACCGGGATGGAGAGTGGGTGATGGGCAGCACTGGGTAGGGCCTCGCCCCCAGGTGGCCTCTCCTCCCCCAGCCTACCGCTTGGCCGCGTGGTTTCGACCCCTGGCCTTTCATTTCACCGGCCATGCAGTTTAGATCCCCTGGTGTTTCCTCCCTAGAGATAGCATCTGGGCCTCAGTCGTATTTCAGCTCCAGGCCCGGAAAAGCAGCCAAACCAGGAAGACAGTGCCAGGACCAGCTACAGTGATTAATGACCTCCTGCCTTGCTGTTGACCAATTACTAGAGACCAGGACCCTAAAAAGGAACACCTGGAAGAGCTGGTGACTATTCTATTGTGATCCTCCCTGAAGACCTCCCCTAAACTCCCAACAATTAACACCCTCCAGACAAAAGACTCAGCACACACTCTCCCTCCTGGGAGCATGCCCGAGCCTTCTCCGGCCCCTTCCCCTCCCCCCACAGGCACAAATCTCCTAAACCCTAAGGGGACCCCACGAGACTCGCAACCAGGGCAGCAATGGGCAGCGGCAGCTTGTCCCAGGCTCACCCTCTGAACCTGTCTCCAGGGCCCCTTTTCTCTGACTTTCTAGTGAGCAAAGCAGACTTGCTAAGTCTCTCTCCTGTTGCTGCTTCTACCCTAAGCCCCTCCTTGTTTCCCTGTCCCCAGGTTTAGTAAATGCACTTTCAAAATCACCTGGCCGTGCAGTGTGAACTCTGTCCTGCACAAAGTCAAGGACCCGCTTGCTACAGACGGCCCTAGGCAGACCCACTCTGGGCCTGGTCCCTGTCCAGCAGAAATGAATGGAGGGACAGATGGGAACAAAGTCCTAGAGGTCCTGAGATGCCTGGCCAAGGAGTTTGTACTTCATCCCAAAGGTGGTGGGTGCCACTGAAAAGGGGAGATGTCACAAAGTGCTGAGAGGCCCTGGCCGAGGAGTCAATAGGTTAGAGCTTTGTCCCAATACACTAGGATTGCGGGTTCGACCCCTGGTCAGGGCACATATAAGAATCAACCAATAAATGCCTAAGTGGAACAACAAATCAATGTTTCTCTCTCCTCCCTCTCCCCCTTCCTCTCTATCTCAAATCATTTTTTACAAAGTGTTGTGGGATTTCAGAGCTAATCGCCCTAAGAGGTGCCTAAGGGCAGCTTGACCCTCAAGCTCAGGAGAAGCTTCTGCTCCTTCCTTGACTACCTGGAAAAACTTGAATTAGGAGCCTTGCCAATAATGAG